TTGCGTGCTCAACACCTTCTGGATTGCTTGAGTGGTGTTGCAGTTGCTATTTCAGATGATTTGGTGGGCTCTATTACGCAGGTGGTTAATCTCTTTCTCGCAGGGAAATATCCTGCTGAGTTGGGGGAGTATATTGCTAGTGCTCCTCTCACGCCACTTGTTAAGCCCGGTGGTGGTATTCGGCCTATTGTTGTGGGTACTGTTTGGCGGCGTCTAGTTTCAAAGGTTGGGGCTGCTTTAATTGGTCCGCGTCAGGGAAACTATTTAGGAGGTCTTCAGTTTGGTGTTGGGGTGTCGGCGGGTGGTGAGGCTATTCTTCATGCTGTTAATCGTTTGGTTGAGGCTCGTGGTGGTGATGTAGGCCTCTCTATGTTGATGGTGGATTTCCAGAATGCCTTTAATTTGGTTGATCGTACGGCTTTACTGCGTGAGGTCCGTCTCCGTTGTCCAGCTCTCTCGCGTTGGGTTGAATTCTGTTACTCTTCTCCAGCCAGGCTGTTTTATGGGGAGCATACCTTAAGGTCATGTCAAGGTGTGCAGCAGGGTGATCCTCTTGGCCCTTTGCCTTTTGCTTTAGTGCTCCATCCGTTGGTTTGTCGAATTAGGGATTCTTTCGACTTATGTTTGCAGGCTTGGTATTTGGATGATGGCACTATTATTGGTGACACTTTGGTGGTAGGGAAGGTTATGGAGTTGATTTTGGTGGAGGGACCTCGTCTCGGTCTCCGTGTTAACGTTGAGAAAACGAAAGTTTTCTGGCCCACGGAGGACCCACGTAGCCGTCTAGCCGGTGTCTTTCCTCTAGATATTGCTCGTCCTGTTCATGGTGTTAAGTTGCTTGGTGGTCCCTTCAGTGTGGATGCCTCTTTCTGTGGTGAGCTTGTTTCGCAGAGAGTGTCGAAGACCATTGTGCTCATGGATGCTGTTGCTAAGCTTGAGGATCCCCAATGTGAGTTGTTACTGCTTCGTGCGTGTACTGGGGTTTCAAAACTCTACTTTTCTATGCGCACTTGTCCTCCTCGTCTTTTTAAAGCGGCCTAGATTTCTTTTGATGTGGCCCTTCGGGGTTCTTTGGAGAGCATTGTAATTGCTTCGGGGCCAGGTTTTGGTGATTGGCAATGGCGACTTGCCACCTTACCTTTTTCTTATGGTGGATTGGGTGTCTATTCAGCGGGTGATGTTCGACACTGTGCTTTCCTTGCGTCGCGTTTGCAGTCTTCTGGTCTTCAGGCTTCACTTCTTCGCAATTCTGGTATTGTTGGTCCAGGTCCGGCCTTCGATGGCGCTCTTAGTCTTTTTAATAGGACTGTGGAGACTGATCTTTTGCTTAACCCTAGTGAGATCGCTGCTCCCAAACTCATGAAAAAATTGGCAGATATATATTTCACGAAGGTCACTACATCTGTAGAATCCACTTTCTCCTTATCTCAGGGTCAGGTTGCCTTATGGAAGTCCCAGCAGGGGGATCACACTTCTGCCTGGTTGCGAGCGGTCCCGATATCAGGTTTGGGTCAGACTATGAATGGTAAGACTTACCGTTGTGTCCTTTGCTACCGGTTGGGTGTTCCCTTGTTCTCCGTTTCGACACCTTGTTCTGCTTGCTCAAGGGTTTTTGACGGGGATATTTTTGGGGATCATGCAGTGTCTTGTGCTGGGATGGTGGGTATTAAACATCGACACAACATTGTTCGTGATACCCTTGTTGATATTTGTTTCCGCACTGGAATTTCTGTAAGGAAGGAGGTCAACGTTGGGTTGACCGGAGGAGATGACGGGGCTCTTCGACCAGCAGATGTGTTGCTTAATTCTTGGGATAGAGGCCTAGATGTATGTTTTGACTTGACGGGGTCTTCTCCATTGACACAATCTGGGTTATCTGACTTCGTTCCTGGTCGTGTTGTGTCGGTTGCGGCTCAGCGGAAGCAAGACAAGTATGGGGCGCGTTGTAGGGCTATTGGCTATGGTTTTCTTCCTTTCTCCTTTTCTTCATTGGGGGAATTAGAGAAGGATGTTGTTGCGTTGCTGAAACGGTTTCAGGCGTTCGCTAAGACTTAGGATATTGGTGCTCGTGCGGCTGCTCACATCTTCAACAAGATTGGGTTCGCTATAGCTAGAGGGGTGAGGACCCAGATTGTATCTCGGCTCCCCACTAATTTCTTGTAAATCATTTGACTTTGTAGGTTTTTGTTATAATCAACACCTTATGGATTGCTTGAGTGGTGCTCGTGGCTGTCTCAGATGAGTTGGTTGACTCTATTTTCAGGGTAGTTAATCTCTTTCTAGCTGAAAGATGTCCTATGGAGCTAGGAGAGTATATTGTTAGTGCTCCTCTTACACCACTTGTCAAGCCCGGTGGTGGCGTCTGGTTTCAAAGGTCGGTGCTGTTATGGCTGGTCATTCTTTGGGAAGTTACTTTGATGGTCTTTGATTTGGTGTTGGGGTTTCTTCAGGTGGTGAGACAATTCTTCATGCTGTGAATCGATTGATTGAGGATCGTGGTTCCGATGTTGGTCTTTCAATGTTGTTGGTGGATTTTCAAAATGTCTTCAATCTAGTTGATCGTACAGTCATGTTACGTGAAGTTCGTCGTCGTTGTCCGGGCATTTCGTGATGAGTTGAATTTTGCTATTCTAATCCAGCCAGATTGTATTATGGGGACCACACCTTATGGTCGTCTCAGGAGGTGCAACAGGGTGATCCCTTTGGTCCTTTACTTTTTTCTTTGGTTTTACAACCCTTGGTATGTAAAATCAGAGATGCTTTTAAGGTATGTCTTCATGTGTGGTATATGGATGACGGCACTATTATTGGTGACACTTTGGTGATGGGAAAGGTTCTGCAGCTGATTATGGAAGAAGGGCCTCGTTTTGGGTTACATCTCACGTGGAAAAAACTAAAGTTTTCTGGCCTTCAGAAGACCCTCGAAGCAGGATTGTGGGTGTCTTTCCGCCTAAAATTGCTCGACCTTCGCATGGTGTTAAGTTGCTTGGTGGTCCCGCTAGTTACGATTCCGATTTTAGTGGTGAACTTGTGATGCAGATGGTGACCAAGACCATTGCGCTTATGGATAGGGTTACTCAGCTCGATGATCCTTAGTGCGAGCTGTTGTTGCTTAAAAGGCCTACTTAAAAGGACCTTTCTAACAAATTTTCCTAAGGACTATAATACATTGTTTACTTGTAATTTAGGATGGAAATGCTAAATACAAGAAGTTTAAGGCCTTGTTCTTTTGAGCAGCTCTGCTGAAATCTGCTCTGCTTTGCTTAAAAAAAATTAATAATAATTATATTTAATATTTAATATTAATAATTAATATTTATAATAATAATAATATTTGAAGATAATAATAATAATAATAATAATAATAATAATAATTAATATTTAATATTTAATAATAATAATTAATAATAATAATTAATATTTATATTTAATAATAATAATAATTATTATTTAATAATAATAACTAATATTTAAAGATAATAATAATAATTAATATTTAATAATAATAATAAATATTTAATAATAATAACTAATATTTTAAGGTAATAATAAGAATATTTAATATTTAATAATAATAAAAATATTTAATATTTAATAATAATAATTAATAATAAAAATAATAATTAATATTTAATAACAATAACAATAATAATAATCTGCTCTGCTTTGCTCTGCTGAAATCTGCTCTGCTTTGCTCTGTTGATCCCTGCTCTACTCTGCCTAGAAGCTCAAAAGAACAGGGCCTGACTTGTCTAGCAAAATTGGTGGAACCATGGTCTCGATTGCTGGAGCATTTGTTGTTACTCTTTATGAAGGTCCACCACTTCTGAATAGGCTCGCACCTTTGCGCACTCATCAACTTAGTCATAATGGTGATCAAATGAAGTGGATTCTTGGTGGTTTCTTTCTTGGCATTCGATGTGTCATGGAATCAGGCTGGGTTATCATACAAGTATGTTCTAGAAATCTCTCTTAGTGAAAGCAATCAGTAGAAATGTAGGATGAGCTGATATTTATTGCTAATGTTTACTTCTAGGCAGTAATTTTCAAAAAGTATCCAGCAAAGCTCATTGTTGTGTTCTTTTACTGCTTCTTTGTTGCTATCCAATCTGGAATTGTGACACTTACTATGGAAAGGGATCTAAGTGTTTGGAGTCTGAAGCCTACGTTTAGGCTGCTTGCAATTGTTTACTCGGTAAGCATGTTTAGAGATCAGTCTGCTCATTTTCTTTTGGTATTTAGATTTAACTTGACACCTGTTTTGTTATTGTGGGGAGAATGTAAATGATGGATATATAACACCGAAGAGATGTGATCTCATAAGGTCCCTATGTTGCGAATAGAAGCATGGATGCAAAAAATTTCACAAGTTTATCTAATTATTGAATTATTCCATTCAATGATTGGTAACTAGTGTTGTTGATTGTAACTAGTAGTTAAAATGATAATAAAGCTAAGTGAATATTTTTCTAATTAGTGATGTAAAACACTACATATACAACTCTCCCTACACATGAAATTAAAAGCCCAAAAGGCCAAAACGTATTTCACCGTATTCATGTTTGTATATAATACTTCGTACTAGTATTCGTTGAATCTAAATATCACAAATCTAATGGTTTATTTCGTCCAAAACATTTTGAAGTACTTCGGATATATTAGAATTAAACTTTTTATAATAGCTCACAATCTATGAATTAGTTAAAAAAAAAAAAAAAAAAAATTAAAACCAAGCTTTTAGATACAAAGACCTTTGGATTTAGTCTATGTACTTGTTAAATTCTAATTCTAATTTTATTGAAAGAGATTATCAATTGACTTTATGACTTTATCAGAGTTGGGCATTGACCGGGTCAACACGAAAATGGCTCGACCATGCTCAAGCTCTGTATGACATTACCAAATCGGTCCAAACCCATCGCATCTCCAACGAGGGCAACGACTTTTGATAACAAAACATATGTCCAAGTCGTCCATACTTTGATCTGTCTACTACAGTGTACTAATTTTATACATCTTCCTCAGAAATCAGAAGACTCAGAATTCAGAAGTGCGAGTCCAAAATACAGATAGAGAAAGAAGAAAGAAGAGATGGAGAGTGAAGCAGCTCCTTACATAGGAATGTTAATGGCGGAATTTTGCCAAGTTGGACTCATGATTATCAGCAAACAAGCTATGAATACTGGTATGACTACTTTCGTCTTCGTCTCCTACTCCAATGCTATTGCGTCCCTCATCCTCCTTCCTTTCTCTCTCTTCCTTCACAGGTCTCCTTCCTTTTCTCTATCTTCCTTCCAAATTCATCAATTTTCTGCAATTTTTACCTGAAATTCACTCATTTTTTGTGTTTAATTGCAGATCAAATCTTCCCCCGCTCAGTTTCTCTCTCCTCGGATGGTTTTTTCTGCTAGCTCTTTCTGGGTTAGACTTGCTGTTATTCTGATACCCTTTTCAATTTTTATTTTTATTTTTTTTTTTTGACACAATACCCTTTTCAATTTTATGTTATGAATTGCGTTTATTTTTTTTAATACAAGTATATATTTTTATTGAATTGGGTTTTCTGGTACCTTTTTAAAATTAATGCAATGGGTTGTGTTAATCATCTTAAACTATAAGATAATTAAATTAGGTTTTCCTGGTACCCTTTTGAAATTTGTGTAATGGGTTGTGTAATAGCATAATTGAATTGGTTTTTCTGGTACCCTTTTGAATTTTGGGTGATGAGTTGTATTCTTCTTCTTAATTATAGTGTTACTGAATTTGGATTTTCTGTTACTCTTTTCAATTTTGTGCGATGGATTTTTGTTAATCTTCTCGAATTATAAAATAATTTAATTGGTTTTTCGAATACCCTTTTTGAATTTTGTGTAATTGACTTCATTTATAGATTTTATAGGGTTATTGTATTGTGTCTGGTACCCTTTTGGACTATGTGTAATGGGTTGATTCTTGATTGTTTGTGATTTAGGTGTTTGGCTCAGTTATTTGGGTATACTGGCATCAATTATAGCTCTCCTACTCTTGGGGCGGCCATGCTGAACCTTGTTCCCGGGCTTACATTTTTGCTTGCAATCATCTTTAGGTATGATTTTTTTTTTTTTTTCCTTTTTGTTTATTCATGTATTTGCGTATTATTTTCCTTTTAATTAATTTGTTAATAGTGAAATTCTAGTGTAATTAAATTTAGCATGGATTTGTCCTTTCAATTATGAAGATATTTGTAATTAAGCAATAGTCCTCTTGTGGTAAGCACGTCGGACTCTAAGTGCAATCCTGCGTAAGCATGTTGGTATTTTGCTAAATGTTGTAAGTTATGTTTGAAGTTTTATTTGGGGTAAATATGGAATAGAATTTAGCTGTGTAGATTGTAAAAATCGTCATAGTTTACATCTAGGCAGTGCTATTCTTTTTTCTTGGATAACTATATGTCTATATGCAATAATATTTGCAAAACTATCTCTTGCCTTTCGTATTCTGGAAATTTATATACCAATCCCATTTTGCCAAACATAAGCTAATTTTTCTTTAGTGATAACTTCAGAGTGCGATACGCATCATGGCCATCAACTACGGATGCTCATGTTGCATAGTGAACCATTACATGTGAGCATCATTAGTGAAAAAATGAGACCCTAAATTTATGAGGAGTTGCTTTCCAAAGTCAATGTCTTTATGTCAAACTGTAAAACACTGTTTTCCCCAAATTGAAAGTTCGTTTTGAAATTACTTATACTGTAGAATTTGGAATCCACATGTTTGTCAATTCTCATTTTTACTTACCAACAAAGACTTGAAATACACCTCAGCTGAAGCATATAGACTATAAAGTGGTGGCCTTTGTATGTTTCATAGGTACCTAATAATGTTACCTTCACTGCTATTAGTTAAGTATTCTTCGTGGAAAATTTTGGTTCTGTTATTGTTAAACATTTTAATGGGTTTCAAAGAAATTATGTATAAATGAGGTGAGTGTCACTTTGTGGCATTCATTACAGTTCTCAAGCCCAGATAAAAGAGGAGAGTTGCGGTAGGCCTGTGGCGGCCAGCATAAAACTTACACATCTTATTATTTTGCCATGCTCTCTCTCTCTCTTTTTTTTTTTTTTTTTTTTTTTTTTTTGCCCAGATGGTTCTTTATGACGATTCATGTTAGCCGACCCCAAATCATTTTGGGACTAAGGCTTGTTGTTGGTTTGTAAAAATACAATTTTTACTTGTAATTTCAGGATGGAAATGCTAAACACAAGAAATATAACTTGTCTAGCAAAATTGGTAGGAACCATAGTCTCGATTGCTGGAGCATTTGTTGTGACTCTTTATGAAGGTCCACCACTGCTGAAAAGGCTCGCAACTTTGCACACTCATCAACTTAGTCTTCGTGGAGATCAAATGAACTGGATTCTTGGTGGTTTCTTTCTTGCCATTGATTGTGTCATGGCGTCAAGCTGGGTCATCATACAAGTATGTTCTAGAACTCCTCCATAATGCCAAGTTGCCAACAATAGTAGGATGAGCTGATATCTTTTTTCTAATGTTTACTTCCAGGCAATAATTCTCAAAAAGTATCCAGCAGAACTCATTGTTGTGTTCTTTTATTGCTTCTTTGTTGCTATCCAATCTGGAATCGTGACACTTATTGTAGAAAGGGACCTAAGTGCTTGGAGTCTGAAGCCTACATTGAGGCTGCTTGCAATTCTTTACTCGGTATGCATATTTACTAGTCACTCTGCTCTTTTTGTTTAGGTATTGTCTTTTAACTCAATACCATCTTTGGCTTTGTGGGGTTGCTTTCTATCTTTTGTTATATTTGAGTCCCATGTTTGCTAGATTGACTAGGCAGTTCAGCTAATTATACAAAGTAAAGCATCTTTTTTAATGAAAATACAGAACCTCAAGGTCAGAGGAAATTCTTATATTGATTTAATATAACTGTTGTAAGCCTTAATAGGTTTCCTTGCTGAAATATCCGTTTGTGTAGGCAATATTTGGTTCTGCCCTCCAAGTTGGCCTTTGCTCATGGTGCCTGCGAAGGAAGGGGCCTGTTTTTGTTTGCATGTTTAAGCCTTTGGGAATTGCCATAGCTGCAATTGCAGGTGTTGTTTTCTTTGGGGATACATTATATCTTGGAAGGTATCTTTTTTTCTTACTAAGGAAGTCATTGCTACTGATGATAGTGTTATAATTTTGACAATTTTTTGGCTTTTATGCTAAAGGCATAGAAAAACACCCCCCCCCCCCCCCGGGGAACTATGAAGTGTGAATCGTAAAAGGTGAATTAGTGTGTACTTAGGTAGCGAGAATTGCCTACCAATACTAAATCTTGTACTTGAATTAGGTAACACCTGCATCGAGGTAATGACTTGGTTGGAATGGTGCTCCCTCTTATAAATATTCCTCTTTGATTAGACGCAAAAGACAATAATGCAAAAAATGATAAAACAAAAATTTTGTTGAACATAATATGGATGTTTGAGAGATTGTGTAGAGCAATTAATATTAGGAACTTTAGGTAGGACATCTTTTAAAAATAAAAATAAAAAGTTTGGAACTTTACGTTTGACAGGGGTTGTATTAAGGACTATCTTAATTGAGTAGATTTGCTGCAGGATCATGGAAATCGATAAAGCGGAATTTATACCTTGTCTAAGTTGTATCATTACCATGGAGAGATACTTGAATAATTTTCAGTCAGATGGAACAATTATATAACAATTAGAAAATTCAAACCAAGAATAAAAAGTACAAGTATATATTTTGCTAAGATGGATTAGTTATAAGGTATTTGTATGCTCTTATATGAGATAAAGACAATATTAGAAAGTTGCACATTCCATTCCAGTAATTTTGTTTCTCAATATGAAGGAGCAATCAGGCCCTGTCTAATGTCTATGCTCTTGAAAGTTTATAGCTATGACTATTTTTCTTGGAGATTAAAAATTTTGATGCCTGATTTTCTGCAGTTTGCTCGGGGTGATAATAATAGTTCTTGGCTTCTACTCTGTTATGTGGGGAAAGTCTAAAGAAGAGAAGAAAATTCATGCTGGTCACTTCAGTAGCTTAGGGTTTCCCACCCAAAAGATGCCACTGCTGGAAAATTATGCTGAAGAGACGGTGAATGCTGCTGCTTAAAAAAGGTAAATTTCCTCTTCAGCGAGTTTCTTATTGTTGCCTGGCCTTTGGTGGTTGGATTTTTCTCTTGTTGGAAATAAAAAAGTGAGCCTTCAAACTGAGTGGGAAGTGTGGTCTGTGTTGTTGCTTATAATCTTTAATTATCATGCGACACCTGTGTTTCTGCCATAGAAAAGTTGCGCTTCCACATTGAAGCCTCAAGTTGCAGCTATGTAAGGACTGAGAATAGATTGGGCAAGGTATTTGTTGATGAGGTGCATCAAGGTGTGAACTTGAAGGCCTATGTTCGCTTCTTTTATTCCATGCTAAAATCCTTTTTCTGTTTACTATGGACTCCACTGTACAGTGTATTTCTTGGTTAATACTTTAATTTTCTAGAATTGAGTGGTTGCTTTTATTTACCAAGGCAACCTGTTATTTCACAGAATCGTTAATTTTAACCAGTGTGCCTCACATTCACTCTTTGCATCTAGACTCAAGGACCCCTATTGCCTTGTTGTGCCATTTGTCTTTTCAAACACGGTATTTGCACCATGATCTTTGTAAAAGTTTAGGAGAATAGTGTTCTTACATAGACCACTGTACTAAACCTACTCTTTTCTATTCAGTCTTCACTTAAACTCACAAGTCATAACCACACCTTTACAAGGCCACACAGCATGCATAGATAGGCAAAGCAATTGGGACAGTCATAGCTGTGCTTATTAAATCACAAGGTGCTACTTCTAAGTCAACTTAATTATGCTGAAGAGTGGTTGTTTCTTTTTCATAATTGCCAGTAAGTCCCAGGTTCATTACAATGATATAGGCTACAGGCTAAATTTAATCTATTAGGTCCGCATGTTCTTTGGATCTCGGTGAGCTGTGTCAGTGTAACCCAACCTTAATTATAGCTAACTGGTGAAACTAGGTTAAGATAGTTTGCTGATCTGTTTGGATGGAGGTCAAAGTAAGTTTGGTTAATGACACTAATTAATAAAGTTTTGCCTTGGGTGCCTGTCAATTCTGTGGATAATGAAATTGTGGTGAAAATTTAAAGTTGTACCTAACCTAACCTAGTAGTCCTAGTTACACTTTGGAAAACAAGAAATACTTCCACTTGCTATCACTTCAATTCAAAGAAATTGTTGATGGATGATGTTAAAGTGATACTTTATTACTTTTGGGTGTACGCGGTCTGGCTGCATAATTATTTGTTCAAATGAGTTTGAAAAGGGCTGAAGTCTTTAGACTGAGAATTTCTAATATTATGATGAATATTATTGAGTGTTTCCTTTAATTTTGTTTTACACTTTGGGAAACTCAAGATAGCTCTTGTTATCTTAAATTATTGAATGAGGAAGATGGTACACGGAGGGCATTAGAATTTTTGCTGAAAATGTTGATGTTTTTCTTAGATTTCTTTGTACGTCCAATTGTATTCATTGTCTCAGTAATCATATTGGATCTCTTCTTGGCAAGAATTAAATAAGATTATTCTTGACAAGTGACAGTATAATACTGGTGAAGGGATTTATTTCCTCAAAAAAAAAAAAAAAAAAAAAAAAAAAAAAAAAAAAAAAAACTGGTGAAGGGATTTATATCTGGTCTCTCTATCGATTTCATCTGTGGGTTATATCTGGTATCTCTATCGATTTCATCTGTGGGTTTTTCAGATGTCAACTTACGTCTTGCACAAATAGCTACTGAAGCTTTCTCAGGATAGAGAAAGAGATGATAATAAAAGCAAAAAGGTAAGAAGAAATGTCTGCATTGAAGTGGAAATTTCTTCTTGAATAAGTCCAAGATGATAGTGCATTATCCTCAATTGCTAGATAAAATGAGACATTTGAATCCAAATGGCCTTTCGTACCTTTCCGCCTCTTGGACAATTTCCTATCCTTTAGAAATTCCAAACTATAAAATATTACTTTTCCTGTCTATTCCTTTGTCTGCAGTCTGTACGATATTAATTTAATTTGTTTGTAATATGTTTGCATACTTGTCATAGAAAAGTACTCCTCTATCTAGTAATAAAAGTCAAGTATACTAGTTGAGATTGTGCAGATAATATTCACGTTCTTAAAATAGAAATATACTTGTATATAATTTTGATTTTCAAACATGTATCCACTTATATGGAGCTGAGAGGATTGGAAGGGGATAACTATGTACAAGTATTATGAAAGGATTTTGTAGTGAATTTTGCGGCATTCTTGATTGTAAGAGGTTTGGATAATGTGTCAATTTAATTCGGAAAGATGGAAATCTTGGTTGATGTCGGGGTTTTGCAACTTTACAGAGATTGATTAACGTAAAAGCAGATCTAATAAATAAAACTTTGATGGTTTTAGTTTGTATGATCAGGTTGTCAAAAGCTGGAAGGAGTCCAAACTAGTGTATGTGATGGGCGTGAAGTGTTCATTTGCTGGTGCTGTATTCTATTCCATGGTAGGCACGAAAGTTCTCTATGCACTTGGCTTTAAAAGATCCCGTCAACAGGAGAAACGGGGATCTTCTGTCTGCCTGCAGAGCTGAGGAATCACTGCTTCTTTTTTTCTATGATCAGTGCCCGTAATTTGACCTATTGTATATGGATTAGTTGTCAACCTTTTTGCATTATCGCGTTGACGATGTAAGATCATTTGTAAATATATCTTTAAATACTGTCATTGGACATATGATTAAGTCTTGTATAAACATTATTTATTCTTCTATTTGTTGGATACATGGAATCAGTATTCTGAAAAGTGTTGGTGTCTGCTGCATGACATTACAGAAGCATTAAGTCAGTCATGGCATCCTTAATTTTGCTGCCTTAGATATAGGATTTTATATGTTATCATACACTTTAACGGTTTGTTATTCTTATTATATTTATTATTTATTATTATGTTTTGAAGCACACTATGCTGGACAAAGTCTCGACTTGAGATTACCTTGAAGACGCCTTTGTCACATCTCACAGGGGTATATATTTCCGTTACTATTTCAGTTGGCTAATTAGCTCACCTTGAAAAGGATTATTTTATTGTAAAAAACAGAAAGAAAGAAAGAAAGAAAGAAAGAACAAGAAGAAATGAAATAAAGGATCTCGAGATTAAGTTCAATAGAAACAGATTTTATTATAATCAAAATGATTTAAGTTTTCCAAATATAATTATATAAGGTGAAATGAACATGACATTAGTCCGTATTTATGACTCTCTCTATCCCTTTAACTAACCCTCGTTTTCATTTTTGAGCATCTTAATATATTACTTGATTCATTTCCTTTTTATAAACCTTATTCTCTACTACCTCCGCTTCATATTACTCACAACATTTGCCAAAAATGGATGTTTCACATTACTCACAACAAATTGATTTCTTTCCTTTTTAAGTAAGTTTTTATGTGCAAAATGACAAAATTACCCTTACTTTTTTTTTAAAATATCCTAATTAAATTACAAATCTGATCTCATTACATTAAACCCTAAAGTTAATTAATTTCACCCTTACCACCAAATTCATTCCCCTCCACCTACATTCAACATCTTCATTCATAAGTTTTCTCTCCCTTCCTTCATAATTCATCATCTACATTCAACTAGCACCTTCAATGGCAACCACCACCACCACCAGTACCATCGATCACCACCACCACCATCTTCAATGGCAACCACCACCACCACCACCTTCATTCTCCCCTCAATTCGACCGCAACCTTCTATGGCGACTGCCACCGTTGCCGGAAGTCGATGCCGTTGTCCCTTGCTTGTCGCCGCCTTTGTTTTCTCTCTCTTCCTTTGCTTGTTGTTTCCTCATTGCCGATGAAACCAAAATTTGAAAGTTTTATAGTCAAATTTAACCATCAAAACTCTAGATCTAGAGTTTTTATGGTTAAAGTTGACCAATTAAAGCTTTAATTGATGATAGAGAAGGGTTTGTGGGTTCGTGGTTGGGTTTGTGGGGGTTGCTGCGGCTGGGTGTGTGGGGGTTGCTGCGGCTAGGTTTGTGGGGGTTCATGGGTTCATTGTGGGGGTTGCTGCGGCGGGGTGGCACCAGTAGAAAAATGCTCATTTGCGTCGCCTTATTTGCGTCGCTCATAGAAATAATTGACGCAAATGGTGGTGGGCTCGATGTTTTGAGGTGCTGGGTGGTGGTGGGCTCGATGTTTTGAGGTGCTAGGTGGTGGTGCTGGTTGGTTATGGTGCTGTTGGGTGGTGGTGGTGATGGTTGGTGGTTTCGGTGGTGCTTAGTGGTGATACGGTGGTAGTGGTGGTGGTGGGTGGTTTCGGTGCTGCTAGGTGGTGCTCGTGGTGGTGGGTTATTTAGTTTAATTTTGGTAGAATTTGTTTTTTCTTTGTTTTGGGTTGGATTAATAATTAAGTATATGCCCTTATTTTTCCATAATCATACTTAAGATCTTTTTTCTAGGAGTCCGCAAAACACTAGTTTGTTGCGAGTAATCTGAAGCGGAGGTAGTAATTATTTTCTCTGGTTTGGTTCCACATTAGTGACCCAATTATTTATTTATCACTAACTTTTATATGTGGTTGGCCACACCGTGTGGACAACCACCACGGGGTTACTCGGTTGGTGTTATGAGGGTTACTTAGTTAGGGTTATAGAGGTTAATAAGTATTACAAGGCTTATTATGTCAGTTTTGTAGGGGTACTCAATAATTATCATAAGGAGTTCTTCTATCAGTATAATAGGGGTTACTCTATCAATGTTATAGGGGGTTAATCCGTTTTTTTATACGCTATTTATTTATTTATTTTATTTACTTTTCACATCGTCCCACTTAATTCTTTGTTTATTTATATAGTTATTATTCACTTGTATAAAAAAATGTGTAAATGGTCTTGAACATGTAAATATGGTGGAAGAAATTCTACATTTATACCTATATTTCTGAAATTTAATATAGTGTTACTCCCTCTGTGCTTAAATAAATGAGATGTTTTAACTTTCATGAGTTTTAGAAAGGCTAGTTGAATATATTAAAATAATAGGTGGTGGGGTATAAGTTTGAGGAAAGAGAAGAACAAAGTAAGGGGTTTTGTGGGGATCATTAGTAAGTAGAATAATATTAAAAAGTAGAGAGATTATTACTAGTATTTAAAAAAATAGAGATAAGTTACTAAAAAGAGGAAATGTTTCATTTATTTAAACACGGATGTGAAAAAAAATTAAAAATAAAAATAAAAATAAAAATAAAAAAAAGTTTCATTTATTTAAACGCGGAGAGAGTAGTTTATATTGATGTAACCTTGTACTGTATACCTCCATATATTGTAATGAATGTAATAACAGTACAAGTACAATGATTATAAATTTCTTTGTACACAAAGGTTAATATTGTCATGAAGTAATCGATCTTAAGACTTATTTCCACCTTAAGAATTTTTTTTCACGCAATAATATCCATACTACTATTATATTATATTAAAAGAAAACAATGTCGACTGAAAAATTTACAACTAAATAAATTATCAAATATAAACAATATTATTATTTATAATTTACAATCCGGAGTAAGTATATACTACGAGTACAAGAATAATTGAAATTGACATAATACAAAGAATAGAATCCAAAACACATTTGTAGGATGGCTTAAATTCAAACCTACTTTTCATTTGAAATTGAATCACAAATTTTTCTCCAACTTAAATCCTTACGTATAAAATAAAAAAACAACTATGCAAATCTATCATTTTTTGCATGTATGATCGACATGATATAGGCCGGTTTGGTTCTATGTGACTAATCTTCCATAATAACTACTTTGTGCGGTTTACGTTCATTCATATTCTCCTCCTCATGATGTTATTTTGGTTATTTTACTACCATAAATGTCATATCCTATTCTCACAAAGAAGAAATTGAGCTCTCACTGCCTAGCTAGACCTTAACTTTATAAGTTTGAACTTTGTATCATTTCATCTTTTGAATCATAAACCTAGGTATCACTCCTTTTTCAATCCATACATTTTGTAGGTAGGTTGGATTCCTTATGATTCGATTATATATGTTCGACGATCACATCTCTATATCATACTTCGTACTATTGCTTATGATAGATGATAATTTCGTATAAAACGTCGGTTAGTAGGGTTTTGATTGTCGAGGTTCATTCATTCATCCACAAGCTAGCAATCTTATCTTCGCCTATACACCCTAAAACTTCATTTATAGAAAAGTTTCTTATAAATCTAGCGTGATACATTGGTTATTCATTAGAAATTATGCATGCATGCATGCATACACATCTATATTGTTAGTTTTGCATGTAAATTTAACTAAGAGCCTAAGAGGTTAATTGGTTTTTTGTTTAAAAAAAAATAAATCATATTTTGACTTATTTTAGGCAAAATAAGCTCAAATAATTTAAAACAAGTTTAGAAAAATAAATTTAGACAAAATAAGTTTTTATTTTTATTTTTTTTATTATTACAAACAATTTCATGAATAATTGCTTACCACATTAAATGCTACTCTATATATGTGTATGCATCACCACACAGTCTACATCATCCTTCGAGAATACAATTCTGAGCTTTGTTAATGGTGATGGATATCAGTTAGTATAATAATAGTCCTCCAAAAAAGTAAATATTAAAAATGTAATTGTAGAATAGAATATAAATAGCGCCAAATATAGAGGAGAACATAGCAAGTAACCATTAGGTCAGGCAAACATTTTAAACGACCCCAAGAGGTTAAGACAGTTATTAAGAGTCATATTATCTAAAATAAATAAACAAAGAGCCAATATTAGTTAACTTATATTTAAATTGGCGGTGATTATTCAAGTATAACCATATCAATTAATTAATAAAAATTCAATGAAGCTTTCCTCATCCGTAAATATGAAATTGCTGACATTGTCTATAGTTCAACTTTAAGAAATTAAAATGAAGACCAAACATTTTAATTTCCAAGTTGTGAATCATTTCATTTTTGAACCATTCATTAATCTTTTTCTAAGAAATATATAGGCCGGTTATTTAGGTCCATTAGTAGTTTGGAACTAATATTCGACGTACGTACTTCTCCCATTTAACATGCGTGGCATGCACATCTATACAATTTTTTCATTTACGGCCACAAATCTACAATCTAAGCTAGTTGTGATGTCTAGGGTATGTCTGCCATTATGAATAATGAGATTGAATTTCATCTACTATAATGCTACTTATAGCAACTTTAATTTATACATACTAAATAAGCTAAGGAAACCACGGTGGAAGGCTGATATCGATGGTGGTGGTGATGGTGGTGGGAGGCACTGACGATGTGCACGTAAAAATATTACGGTTAGGGTTTTAGAAGAACAAGTAATATATGGCCGCTCTTGTTATCATGTAAATAATAATCGAAGGCTCTTCCTAAACTAGGGAGCGGAGCCCTGACTTTTAAAGATGTCAAAACCTGACTCGATCGATCCGATCTAACCTGATAAAAAATCCGATTCAGATTTCGACTAGTATGAACACAATAATTTAAAATAACTCAACTTTAATTTAGACATGATCCAACCCGACCTGACGCGACGGAATTGACACTTCTATTGAGACTAATTAAATATAAACTAAAAAAAACACTAATCGTTATACAATTATTAACGTTATACCATTAGTATATATTGCACTATTGCTACGAGTAGTTTATACGTAATGTGTTTCAAAGTAAATTTTAAGTACTTAAGTCCCTAATTTCCTGCATGCATGCATGCTTTACTCCATTCTTAAAAGTTACGAGTACGTAGCAATTTTATCTTTGATCACTTTAAATCCCACTATCCCAGGATATATTCTCAACCAGTTTCAAATTTGACACAATATTACTTCGATCATATAGTACGTCAGTACTATCTTAAAATGGAAGACATGCGTTAAATTAATATAAAGAATTAAAGACCGACTCTTTGAATGTCAACCCCTATGAGAGTCATGGCATGCATGCCTCAAAAAAAAAAAATGGCATGGCAATAAGATACATATAATGGCCTACAATGCGATTAAATGAACCTACGATTCACCGATTTTACTAATTAATACGCCTTTCATCTCATAATAGAGTACCTATATTCATTTTTATGGCCAAATTGTAAAAACGTAGAATTCTCATCAATATATACAAAAAAAACATAGTCATGTGAGATATTGTTAGATTTGTTTTAATATGCAGTTTTATAATATCAACTTTTTATAATTTTTATTAATATTATATAATTGAAGATATTGATTGTCCAAGGTACATCTTGAAAACTATATAAAAATAATATACACATACTATATTATGAGGCCAAAGGAGTAGAAAAATTAAAGTATATGACTAACTATAGCTTGCATAGCAGGGTACACCACACCAACTATAATGGTAAGTGCGCCCAATTTACATAAATTTTGTTGGATGTAGCCATACTTGCTCAGCTTTATATTTTTTTGGCTAGGCTAGGGTCGGAGATTATGAAATGGAAATATAATAATTTTGTGAAGGTGGCTAATCAAACAAGTGAAATCTAGTTAATTTTCATTTATTAGGCACATTCAGATTAAGTGGGTGCCTCTCTATACACTCTAACCTAAAGCAAGTATTGCCCTAATTATAAACTCACTTTAGTTGATGTTATACCACACATTCAAGCATTAGCGTGTTACATATATACGCCAATTGTTTCGAACTTTTAATGGGTTTGCTAGCTAGTTGATCGAAAAATACAATGTGATGTCATTTTAATTTTCAAAAAAAAATATAAGAAACCATTAGTATAATCATTAAGTTTAATATGGCCATTACAACTGCCCCAAGAGGTCAAGACTATTAAGACTTAAGAGTCACATATATTTCTCCGCATCAAATTATATACAAGTATAAGATTGAAATACAACTAAACTTTGCTTATTAGATGGACGGTGTAACTTTAATAATAATATAAATAAATAAGAATATTACATTTTACAAATATGCTTCCCTCATTCACAAAATCTGAAACAGCTGACATTACCCATAGTTCAATTACATGAAATTTTAAAAATTGAAATTAATTAAAATATATAACATTTTTAATTATTACATCCAAAAAATATTCTTCCTTGTTAATATTATTCAAGAATATCGTCAACATACAAGACTATACTTAACCCCACGTTTAGGGACAAAAATGCTATTCATTTTTGCTTAATTAGATGACATAATCCTACTAGATTAGTGGCTTAAACACACTATTTCCTTAATTGCACCTTTAGAAGTTGCCCAAAAGATCTCTCAAAATTACTTTCCAATTTGGTAGGGTATATCTATAAGCTAACACTAGCCACAAACCCAAATATATTGGGACCTCCCTTAATAATAAAATCATATAGATATTTCAAATAATAAGATTAAAAAAAATTAAGAATAAAATTACATAAAATAAAATTGTAATTATAAAGAGACAAATAAAAGTGTGACATGCAATAAAATAAAATGAAATTAGAGGGGAACATACCTCAGCAAAGGTCAAAGGAATAACAAATATAATTAGCTGAGTCAGCTAACTATTTTTGACGACTTGTATATCCGAGTTGCTACTTCTCGACCCAACCCCTAGGTAGCTTCATGCCCTCATGAAAGGGTAACCATATAATAATTTTCTTATCTTATTTTTGTAACAAAAAATAAAAATTAACTATACCTTAAATTTTATTACTTTTTATTTTCTCTCTCTATTTTTTTTGTGGTATAAAATGTGGATGAAGAAACTTTCTTCATTCATCAAGGTTTTTAACAAGAGCTAGCTTAGCAAGCTTGATCATAGTAAGAGAGAAGTACATACATACATACATATATACATACTTGAGCTTCATTCTTTGTGTGTGTATCTACTCCTTGCTTGGTTATCGAAATCGTCGTGCTTTAGAAGAAGAATGGAATTAACAAGAGGGAATAATAATAAGATATGGGAAGTGATTCCATTTTTATGTATGTTTTTGATAGAAGGGTGTACCATTGCCTTAACCATAACCGCGAAATCGGCCATGGCTATTGGGATGAGCCAATTTGTGTTTGTGGCTTACTCGAACGCTCTTTCTTCTATCCTCCTCGTCGTTTATTGTCTCATCTATCATAGAGATAGGTAAGTTAACTAGGTCTAACAAGATAATTTTATTACATATGATCATCTTGAATAATTTAAGATAATTTACATATGATCAACTAATAATTCTTTCTTTTTTTTTCTTTTCTTGTATGGGCAGTATGAAAAAGGTTTTCAATGTCAAGCTTCTCTCACGATTCTTCCTCCTTGGTCTTACGGGGTTCGTTCAATTCTCTCACTCATGCTATACGATTTTATCATTTATCTCTCTTTTATGAGTTATTTCATGAATGCACACGTGCGCGCACACACGTACACACACGCCACCCTACTAGATTCGAAATGCTTGCATCGTTGCATGTTGCAAGTTGAATCTGGTAGGGCAATGTCTAAGCTAAGTCTATGTTGGCGCCCTTCATATATATGAAAGTCCTTGTTGGTGTACTGTTCTTCAATATAACAATAAATAAATAAATAATAAGGAGTAAAAATAAAATCTATTGTTTCTTCAAGAACAATATCTTAGGTACCTAACTATCATAACTTGGTGGGCCTTATAATTATGTTTGTTTTTGTTAAGTTAGTGGTGATTTGAGTAACATACGTAGTTACTTGATTAGCTAGCTAAAGAATGTTACATTTATATTGTTTAAATTTTTAATGCCATCCAATCATACAACTTAGAGTAGATCAATAAAACTACTGTTTTTTAGGTAGTCAGGGTTTCCATTATAATTCGCTGAAAGCTATAATTAACTTATTATGAAAATAACATTATTAAATTACTTGATCACTAAATCAACGGTCTCTCAAAAAAAAAAAAAAAAGTTGGCTTTTTTTTTTTTTTTTTGGATATTCAGTAACTTAAAGTTGTACTCATGATCAAAATTTACAAAAATCAACTGCTCTTTTCCGACAAAAAATAATAAAAGTATTATTATCACATAATATAACTGTATTTTTATCACATACTGTCACTAAACTAACCCGTACTTGTAAATTTGTTTGTGGATGGCAGGATAACAATTGCACAAAATCTTGCATTTACGGGGCTACGTGACAGCTCACCTATAGTTGTTTGTGCAATGGGACTATTGCTACCATCCTTTCAATTTTTTCTCAATCTTATTCTAAGGTATACATACCCTTCATTTTCTTACTTCATATTTTGATGAAAATGTCAATTTTTCTTAGACACCCCTTTATAATGCCTCCCACTATAATTTTCCCCTATTTTCCCTTACGTAAGCATTTTTAATCGTATAAAATTTTAAGATTTGATAATTGATATTCAATACTTCGTATCATATGAATATATGATGGGTCCTATTAAATCTAATCAATGGTGGCTAAGAGGACCACCTTAAAGATGGAAATCGTGGAATTTGATTTTATGTAACACTTTCTCTTGATTGGGTTTTTTATTTATTTCTTTTTTTTTTTTTTTTTTTTTGGAGCTGAATCTTTCTACACCATGCAATAGGCTAGAATCAATAGAATGTACTGTTTATTCATGGTTTTGTAATTTAATACAATTTGGCCTTAGTATGTCATCTCTATCATTCTAATGGCTCCAATTTGTGTTCTTGATCCTTGTGACATCACCTTTTGTTTTGTAGAATGAATCATTTGAAAAGTTATTTGATAGAGGACCCCTTTTTGTCTAATTAGTACCAACCGCACCTACAATAACGTTTCTAACAACCCTTTTTTTTTTTTTATTCTAAGCTCTAATCCTAGAACTAGATGATTCTAGTTGTATATAATCTGATTCAAATTAAGTTATTATGAGTTACAAACTATTATGATTAATGTTTAATTTTTTAATAACTCAGATTTATAATAATTGACACAGACAAACTTAACATATCTGCTGATGCACTATTTTGTCTCTGTGTATAAATAATTAAAAAAAAGTTGCGAAAAACTTTATATTATATACTTAGCAACAATACGTTACTACCTTTTATACACTTACATTTGTGTTTTAATATATAATTATAAAGTTATAGTTATTATGGAATAAAAAGAGTATAAAGCAAGGTAATTAAAAAAATGAATTGAATCAAGTATGCTTTGAAAATGACTACTATTATTACATCAAATTATGCGCCTCGAAAAGATTCTTATTTAGGGTATTAGGGGATCTAATAACTTGGTTAGCTCTTACTAGTAGCCCTAAAAATGCAACAAAGATTACTCCCAAAACTCAAATCTATAAAACTCCCACCAAGTTTTTTTTGAAATTTGACTAAACTATCATTTTACACACAAAAACAGGAAGGCTAAGTTGAACATAGAGAGCAAAAGCACCCGCATCAAGCTCACCGGGGTGGCGGTGTCTATCATCGGAGCAATCACGGTCGCCGTCTACCTCGGCCCTTCCATCCTACAAGGACCAATTATTGGTCCTATCATGCTTCGTAGCTCTAAGTTTCAATTCGTGTTTATCACCACCACAGAAGAATGGATGTTTGGCACCTCTTTGCTAGCTCTTGCTACTTTCTTCATTGCAGTTTGGAGTATGATACAGGTATATTATTAGTAAACCATGTAACATTTCTCCTTTTTTATTTTTTATTTTTTACAAAATGGTAAAGAAAATCAATAATCTAACACGTAAAGATTGGTTATTTTGGATGATAGGTATCAACATTCTCAAGATTTCCAGATATGATGGTGATAGTAGCTTGTTACACTGTATTTGGGACCATTCAAACATTTTTTGTGGACATCATTGCAAATGGAGATTTGAGTGCTTGGAAATTACATTGGGACTTAGAGCTCCTTATTATCGTCTTAACAGTAAGCACTTACCTTTTTTGTTTTTTTATACGTGTCATAAAGAAAAAAAACCTATTTGAGTCTGGTTAATTTCTTATCCGTTAGACGTACGTACATTTAATATGAGGCGAAATGTTTTTAGCTCACGAAATTCATGTCTTACTCGTGCTTATCAAGGGGTATGTATTTAGAACATTTTAAGGATTCGAAATAAATAGTGGATTTTCGGGGTTTATGAGAGGTCGAATCGACCGTACTAATACATGAGATGGGGTCAAAAAATGCAGGCATTGTTTGGGACGTTAGTGAGGAGCAGAATCCAAGCATGGTGCATGAGTTTGAAGGGCCCAATGTATGTGGCTATGTTCAAGCCTGCTGGGATATTTTGGGCTAACTTTTTTGGCGAAAGCTTTTTTGGTACTCTTTGTTATGGAAGGTACTCATCAATCTCTCTTTATCTCATTCATAAAAATTACAATGATATGACCATTGAAGCTTCCATGAGTCATGCACGACTTTATCATTTTGTGAATATAAGAATCAAATTCATTATTATTACTATTGTTGCTATTGAAAGTCCGTCCTTTTTACACTTTGAAATATCAAATATACTTTGTATGGGTTCACTTTTGAAAACTTTAATTATAATTTTTCACAATTACATATCAAAACATTATCATGTGAAATCTTGCTTGTTAATTAAATTCGTCTAATTGTGTGTTTTCAAATAATAATTGTGCAAAAAAAAATTCACATATAAAATTGGATATACTAGTATTAATTGTTAAAAATTGAATTAGAGTTGGTGCAAATAATAATTTTAACCGATGTATTAAGTCTTTGTCTTCCAATTTGTTTTTCCATATACTAGAGTCAAAGTCATAGATAAAGAAAAAAAATTGAAAGCCTAGCAATTTGCAGTTTTGCATAAATAACCAATTAATCCTTTTAATCTTATATTTGATGATTTTCTTAGACGAATATTGTGCTTACATATGTACTATGAGCCAAATTGTGGGATCAACAACTAATTACGTACGAATAGAGCCCTGCATATATTGTTTTTATTTATTTTATATTTTTTAATTATAATTTTTTTGGCCTTACGATAATCCATTGAGCCATGCATGCATGATCATGAAAAGGCGGAAAGGTAGTAAATTACGTACGTAAAAAATGGAGAACGAATTTTTTTTTTTGGAAATGGTATAATTTCAATTAGAAATTGGATAATTGATACAAGTTATTATATATAATTAAACTTGATAACGTCTCATTATCACCATCTAATCTGCCATATTTTTATTAGCAGGTGGAAATGTAACGCAAAGAAATAACGTATGAATACTATGCTTGTATAGTATTTAATCATATTGTTAATTTATATTATATTATTATGATAACGATTAATTTCAAATAGAGAAAATTCGAGTTAACGATATTAATTATTTTCGCTATTTTTATGCAGTGTGATGGGTACAATAATAGTAGGGGTTGGGTACTACACAGTACTATGGGGAGTGAGGGAGGAAGCTAAAAAACAAGCAGATGACTCAACTAAAACTGCTCCATCTGATGACATCAAGACCCCTCTATTGCAAAATCAAGACGCCGACGAACAAGTGTGAAATGTATTCCTTCGTTTTCTACCAATAAAACTAGGAAAAAAATTCGCAGGTACGATAATATTCCTTTCAGTACATTTCTCTGTCTCTTTTTATTGTTCTTATTCGAAATTTTAAGAATATTATAATACATACGTAGTATAAAATAACATAGTCATGATTTGTTTTATATTAAGTATAAAATGAACGGATGACTAATGAAAATACTAACAACAACTCACGTAAATTTATTTTAATTGCAGGGTTATAAAATTAAAGCTTGGGGGAGAAATTTTTATCCATTTTCTAAATTGAATTTGGAGGAAGATGAGATGAACTTCGGGTTTTCGTGAAGATCTGTGGATTTTAGTAACGGGTGAAATAATGTGAATTATTTTCTTTAGAATATGAGCTAATGTAAATATATTATGAAGATTAAGATGTATTATTGCCCGATTTTTTGTGGGAGCTAGTTTTAATGAGATGTATCTCTTTGTACGTGCGTAATTCGGAAGCATGCAAAGTGTATGTTCTTAAGTTGAGGGCTTGCTTATAGTTGCTTCTCTCTTCTCTAGAACTCGTCTGTTGTAATTTTTATTTTTATTTTCAAGTCAAATGAAAAAAATAAAATATAAAAAATCCAATGGTGCATCTCATGCACGTGATTTTCACTAATCCGAAAGAGAGTTTGAGGCACATGGTGTAATATTGAAAGATGTATTATTCCGAATTTCCGATCCATAAACAATCAGTAATATGTGGTAAATCGATCATCAAGCTTAAATCTTGATTAGGAAAGCTTGTGATGAATTTTCAGTTTTTGCAATGTCCCAAATGCACAATCATATTTCATTTTAGGAATGTAAGTAACCTAAGAAATGTTAAAAATCCATGTAGGCCAAAGTTTTTTCTTATATATAAACAAGCTTGGAGATTGATAGTATCCTTTTTGAGTTGTGATTCGTGACATAATTAGATAATACTTAGCGTGTTCTCATAAGAATGTTAAAAACAAGAAGATCGAGATCACTTATATTAAGTGACATGCATGTTTAAAGATAATGTTACGTTTTCTTATTGCAATTAAAAGGGCATCAACTTCATTCTAACAACCTAACGTTAGACCTACCTCACTTAATAATGGTAGGTCATGAGTATAAATTTTCTTTCATGGAAATATATAATGATCATTCCCTTTAAATGTTCACTCTTGTTTTAAAAATAAATTTGGAATATAAGACAACCTAACTTTTCCTTGGATTATAAGAAAATTGAATTTATTCTCCGGATAAATTCAAATTGTTAGAGATGAACAAACAAATTTCTACAATTGCAATTTCATATATTACGATCTTAATTTACTTGGGATATGCCCAAGTAATTACTGTCAAGGTTTATATGGTTGGAGACAACCATGGTTGGGGCCCTGGCAATGATTATTCGAAGTGGGTTAAAGGGAAAACCTTTTACAAGGGTGATATTCTTGGTTAGTATTTCTCTAATTATTATTTATTTAATTCTTTCTTTAATTTTACTTGACATAATTTGGAAAACTTAATTTATATCTCCAAGCTAAGTTAATCTATCTAATACTACGTACTTTAATTTCATCACTAGGCTAGGATCATACATTATGTGCAAGTATGAACGGTAAAATCGATAGTTATAGCATAAGTGATTTGGGCTTATTCATTTTACGTGGTGAAATGGTTTAAAGATATACACGCATGCATAAATGAACTTATGAATATGTGATTATTCAGGCAGGACAATAAAATTTTACCTGATTAACTAATTAATTAAAGTTAAATATTTAGGGAAACAACCAAATTTGACTCGTCGACTCGAATTGCGGTCCTTATACCTAGTTTAAATACTTAATTAAACATCGGTAACCTAACCTTTTTCAACTTTTTGGTATTTAAATTAGATTTTTTTTTAGAAACTACATACTCCTTCCGTGTTTTAATAAGTGTTACAATTTAGCTTTTTTCACTATTCACATAATGGTTTTGACTTGATTAATTTACTAATAAAAAAAAAAAAAAAAAAAAAAAACAACAACAACAACAACAACAAATGTTATTGTATAATACATTATTGGATTTGTTATAATGTATACTTTCATAACATCAATTTTTCCATAATTTTACTAACATATAATTAGATAAATTAACGGTCAAAGTCGTGTCTTGGCATGCGTGTTTGGTCAAATTGTAACCCTTATTAAAACATGGAGGAGTAATAAAACCCATATTTTGTGAGGAACTACCTAATAAAATAAATGTTGTAAGAAACTACCTAATAAAAGGTAAAATGTTGTAAGAAACTAGCTAGTAATAAAAGGTAAAATGTTGTAAAATATTGCCTCTGCCAGATTTCCACCATAGACGTCTATATAGGAGGCAATTAATTACGATTTCCCCTCGTCATATTTAATTAATAAAGGTGGTAAATATGTTCTTTGCATCCTCGAAATTGTTGTTTTCATCCCCAAAACCAACACAACCTACAAAGTACTATTTGCCAGATATTTGGGAGCATAGGTTTCAATAGACGTCTATATAGGAACCACTTCAAAGCACCCTCGAAACCACTGTTTTCATCCCCAAAACCAACACAACCTGCTTGAAATTGCCTCCACTACGCCGAAACCACCCTTCAACCCCAAAACCACCACCTCTAACCCTAAAAACCACCATCCCAAAGCACGAAACTACCCTCATTAACTCGGAATATCCTCCAACCACCCCGGATATAACCTTACCACCTTGAAACCAACCCCCGCAGTGGTTTCGATAGTATTTTGAGGTGGGTCAACGTTGTACATTAGTTCAACGATGGAAATTCGGCTAAAGGTAGTATCTTACAACATTTTACTTTTTATTAGATAGTTTCTTACAACATTTTTTTTATTATTAGGTAGTTTCTCACAAAATTTAGATTTTATTAGGTAGTTTTTGACAAAAAAAAAAATCCTATAAATTATTTTAATTATTACTTGCATTGTCATAATTAATCTATTGAATGTTAAACGACGCCCTTATTTTACCAGGTAACGCCCGCATTTAAACATAAATGGACAAACATACCCTCGTGTGTACTCTATATTTTTCTTCTTTGGCCTCTAACTCAATCGTACATTCTCTCCTCCCAACAAACCACCACCGACCGAGGGCAAGGTCATCGGACACATTGCCAGAATTAAAGTCTTTTTTTTTGTGGAGGCAAAACGCCTAAACTTTTCAAAACTCTAGGGGAGAAACGCCTAGAATTTTCAAAAGTCCCTAGGAGATTCGAAAATTCTAGGCGTTTCCACCCGTAGAATTTTCCAATTTTTTTGCGTTTTTCTTGTTTTTATCATAACTTTTGATCCATAACTTAAATTAAGACAAATAATATATAGTTGGAAATCTCTAGAATTCTATTTTCTAACCCAATTAGAATCATATCAATATCATTTTTAGATCATAAGATATGGCTACAATACTAGGTTTGGTCAAAAACCAACACCCTTGCACTATTTCGATCATATCTTAAGATCTAGAAATGATATTAACTTGATTCAAATTGGGTTGAAAAGTAGACTTCCAAAGCTTTCCAACTATATATCATTTGTCTTAATCCGAGTATGGGATCAAAAGTTATGATAAAAACAAAAAACGAAAAAAAAAACTGGAAAACTCTACGGGATAAAACGCCTAGACTTTTCGAATCTCCTAGGGACTTTTGAAAATTCTAGACGTTTCTCCCCTAGAGTTTTGAAGAAATTAGGCGTTTGGCCTTCACAAAAAAAAAAAAAAAAAAAAAAAAAAGACTTTATTTCCGGCAATGTATTCAATGACTTTGCCCTCGGTCGATGGTGGTTTGTTGGGAGAAGAGAATGTTATGTTGAGTTAGAACATGCAATACACGCGAGGGTATGCTTGTCCATTCATATTTAAATGTCGGCGTTACCCGGTAAAATAAGGGCATCGTTTAGCTTGTCACTTAATTTTAATAATTACTTGTCACAATTAATAGAAGGATTACTTTTTATTATTCAATTATTTGAACAATTAATATGCTACATGTAATTAACATTATTGATTGGGTTATTTTTGGTGTATTAGTTTTTCGTTATGCAGAAGGATATAGTGTAGATGAAGTGGATGCTAAGAGATTCAAGAAATGTGATTCAACCTATTCTTTATATTCGGCAACAGATGGAAATTCTTCAATTACTCTTACGAAATCTGGAGTTCATTATTTTATTGGGGGTTTATTTAATGAGTGTTCTCAGGGCATGAATCTCACTCTCACTGTCAACTAAACCCTTTAAATTCTTTATTTTGCACTTGTATTATTATTGATTATTAATTATAGCATCCTTAATCAACAAAATTCAATGAATAATCATATATATAGGACAAGAATTTTTTTAATGTAAGAAAATAATAACATATATCACATTTTTATATTTGAATTATTTTGTACAGTTTACAAATAATTGTTAAATTTTATAACAGATATGTAAGAGAAAAATAGGCTAGGCTACTCTCTTTGTTCATTATACGTAGTAATTTAATTAGAGACTCGAGGCGTGGCCAAATTAATCCATTAATATCATATTTCTAAAACTGATTGGTTTATAAATATAAATTGATATCAAAACTCAAATTTACAGATTCTTGTTTAATAAGATTCTATTAGAACCTTTGAAGTATAAGTAGGGTAACTTGGGAAGAGGGTTAACTTAGATCAGTGGCGAATCCAGAATTTCTAACTAGGGCAGTAGTACTACGCATTAGATAACTTAAAAAAAATCCTAAATGTCTAGAATCTCGTAATAAACTATTTTGATTATCGCTAACGAATTGGATTAACTTTTATATAAAGCGTCGTATATGCCCCTCCATATTTTATCAAGTGCATGCCCAATTTTGACCTTTTAAATATATTCGTATATACCACTTTTACTTTTTTTTTTTTTTAAAAAAAAGTCACATCGACTAATAATGGTGTTTTATCCTTGTGATTAAACATAGTTATGTGAATACTTGTTATAATTTTATTAATGTATACTTTTCTGACCAATATACATTTTTTTTTTTTTTGTATTTGTTGATATATAGTTTAAGATATTATTGGTAAAAGTTATTTATTGATATATATGTCACTCATACTAAATTATTCAAAACGGAGGGAGTAATAAATTAACTATTCTTATATATTTTTTTTTAATTTATTTTGCAAATAATTTATATTCGAGTTTTTAATATACTACAATCAAATTCAAAAGTACTCCTGTTAGGGTTGGTGAGTGCACAGTGAAAGCAAATTAAAGATGTAGAGATTGAGAAAATAATTGAGAGATAGATAAAGGCAAGATAAGAAGTAAAGAAATGGACAGACAATATTTAACATGGGAAAAATTAATAAAAAAAAATCCACGAACGACTAGCACCAAAATAATCCGATAGAGTATAATAAACTTTGAGGAGGTGAGTAGTACAAAAAAACTATCACTATAAATCACACAAATGAGTAGTACAAAAATTGGAATAGTGGATTCGTAGAGAGAAGGTGAATTGTATACAAGGAGGGTAGTAAGGTAGGAAGGCTTTGTGTATAGGTATGACTTCTTGTGTGTGTACATTGATTGAATGCCCATGACTTATATTTATAGTTGTAGATGGAGCATGGAGCATGGAGCATGGAAGAAATGGTCAGAATATTATAGAAGTTCCTTCATTCTTGTATGCATGATGTTTAAGAAAATTCACGAACCATATTCTAGCTACTTCCAATATTAAGAATTCTCTAGATCAGATGATTTTAGTAGCTTGCATGATACAAGCTAGTAGAAAAATCTAGAGAATTAAAGAGCAATATCAACCATACTACATGTTTGGAAGCTTCTAGAACATGAATAGATACTCCATCAAAATAATGGGCTTGTTAAATTTGGGCCACACCCACCAACTCTGATCCATATGTTCCATGAATTATTGAAGAATTGATGAATGAATTGGCTTAATTCTCATTAATGACTTTGCAAGCATATATAATACAAGCTAACTCAAATGTGATAGGATTAGGAAACAATTAAAAGATATCAATAACTACCAAAAAGATGCTAACAAATATTTTCTAAGATTTCCGAAAATATATCTGCAATACTGATAAGTGCATAATACAACATATATTTAGTCCCTAATATTAGTTTTATTGTTGCCTTTTATTTATTATTTTAGGAATTTATTTACTTTTATAATTTTAGTAGCATATTTATCTTAGCTTTATTTTATTACTAAGTTTGTTATATTATTATACTTAATATGTTTATCATTATTTTGATTAGGAAATGGAGGCAAGGTGGTTCCACTAAGGCTCAGTTCACTTCACCTTATTTTTGCTGAACTAAAATTATTTTTACTGAACTGAAATTATTTTTGCTAAACTTAAATTATTTTTACTGAACTAAAATTAAATTTATTGAACTGAACTTATTTTTACTAAACTGAAATTAGTTTTACTGATTTTCTATTATATTTCTTCATTAAAGTTACTGATCTTTACTAAATTGAAATTATTTTTACTGAACTGAACTTATTTTTACTGAACTGAAATTATTTTTACTGAACTGAACTTATTTTTACTGAACTGAAATTATTTTTACTGAACTGAACTTATTTTTACTGAACTGAAATTATTTTTACTGAACTGAACTTATTTTTACTAAATTGAAATTACTTTTACTGAATATTATTATTTTAAGGTGAAGTGAATAGGGCCTAGCTCAAAGATCACGTGGAGCCCAAGAATAGAAGAAGCAAATAAAAATAAAAGATACGTAAAAATAATTAGAAGGAGAAATCCTAACAGGAGTGAAAAGCTAAGAATTTCAAGAGCTCAAGAAGCTGTCAGGTTCATCTTCAACAAACTCCACCCAAAATTATAGAGAAGATGAATCTCTATCCTACTCCACAATTTTATCCCTTCAAACCCAAAAAACCTAGGTTGTTTTTTGTTATAAAAATTTCCAATTATCTCTCTCGAAACACACATGTTTTACCACAAATCCATATGGAGAGTTTGTGAGGTTTGTAAAGCACGAATTGGCCCAAGATTGATCGATTGGGTAGTATTGGAAGGCGAAGGGACAAATTTGACGGCGAAATTGAGCGGCGTTTGTTTGATTCTTGGCTCGGTTCATAAGTTCTCCTTAATTTATTTATTCTTAATCTTTCAATTTTGTGATTAATTTGTTTGCTTCTACTGGGTGAATTGGATGTAATTTGGTCTTTAATTTCCTGATTTATGTTTCGTCGTTTAAACGCTGAGTATAATCGTATTTCAATATTCAAGTTTGATATTTAATCGATTAACATGATTCTTTGTTTTTATATGAACGTTTATTTTATTAATACTTGTGATAGTGCACGATTACTAGTATGAAGTTATTAGACTATGCTAAATTATTACTTCATGCGGCGTTAATTGATAATTTAGAGTGAATGACTCGATATTACTAGTTTGAGCGGCTCAATCGTAGTTTTTGTTGAATTTGTGAGTTGGTCTAATAAATCAAGTTTATTGGGGTAGAAAGTGATTAGGGGATTTTTCCCCACCAATCACCATCTGACAAGTGGACCAATCAGGTTCCGCCATGTGTCCGTCACATGGGCCAATAGGAGCCTGCCACGTGTCAAGCAATGATCCGTCCACTATGGACCAATTACGACACGACACGTGTCCTTCCCATGACACCTGGGATAACCGGTCACCTAGGCCCAACTTCCGAGGGAAGCCCAATCAGCCCAAGGTTAACCTAAACCTAGATTGACACGTTTCCCGAGGTTATAAATACCTCCCTTAATCCCCATTAAGGGAGATTACGCTAAAAACGCAGATTACACACATTAAACACTCTCACCTAGAGAGACCCAATCACTTTAATTTCCGCATTAATTACTCCTTAATCAAGTACTAACTTCACCGTCGGAGGCGGATCTCCAATCATCCGGAGCATCCGTTTGTTTTGCAGGTATAGGTGTCCGGTTCCAGTCTCGAAATTGTAACTCTCCCGCAGGACATCAGAAAACCCCGAAACATCTTGGCGCCATCTGTGGGGAGAGTACTTCTGAGATGGAATCCACGTTTGTACCGACTCCTGAAGAGAGATGTCCCCTGGACGACCCTCTAGTTCAGTCGGACCACGATACTGAGAATGAATTTGAAGTTGAAGCTCACACAGCTTCAGACGGGACCCTAAGGGCCCGACGTACCCGTCATACCGAAAGGAGGGAACGGGAACATCTTCAAACTGGAAGCGAGCCAGCAGGCGCACCGCCTGTTCGGCAGCAGCCGACTGATGGGTCTGCTCCCATCACAAGGAACGAACTCATGACCTTCATGAGGGACTTCAAGGGAGAAATTCAAGAGTTGATCAACAAGAAGCCGTCTGCTCTAGACAAGGAGCAGTCGGCTAAGAAACCCTCCACTTTACTAAAGAGGAAACCAGTTCAAGGGCGAGAGGCGACCCCTCATCCTAAATCTAGGAAGTGGGAGCCACCTGCCCTTGATTTCACAAAATACCGTTTTCCTACTCCAGGAAATAGGAAACCTGTTCGTCATATTCAGGCGGACGGGTCGAAGAAAACATACACAGACGCTCGGCTACTGCTGGAGCAGAAGAAGAGTGACCGATTGTCAGAGTCGGCCTCTACTTCAAACTTCCAAGACAGTCTGCGAAATACCTCGATGAGGCATACTCAGTCGTATCATGAGAGTCAGTCAGGCGGCACCTCCCGTCAGTCCGGCTTTCATAGCGACCAGGCGGTACCAAACTTACCGTTTGTACCGCAACAACAGTATTTTTTACAGCCACCTCCGTTTGGTGGACATGCAGCAAAAAATGTCCAACCTATGGACTGGCAGCTACGGTTGCTTAGACTTGGTGAACAGCCGTCGGCCTTCTCCAAGAAAATTACTGAAGCCGCTCAGCCGGCCAAAGTGAAAAATGTATTAGTAGGCGCCTATGACGGCACTACTAACCCAGAAGACCATCTGATGGCATTCACCAACCTAATGTACCTTCAAGGGTTGGATGATCCCACTTGGTGCAAGTGTTTCCTAGCGACTCTCAAAGGAATCGCACAACAATGGTTCGCCAACCTGCCGACTGGTTGTGTAAATAACTTCAAGACGCTTGCTTACTTATTCACCTCCAACTTCGCCATGAACATCCCTGCGAAGAAGACGACCCTTGATTTAGGAACAATTCAGCAGGGCGAGAAGGAGGGGCTTCGTTCTTACATCAGGCGGTTTAACCTGATGAGAATACAGATTCAAGGGTTACCGGATGAAGTAGCCTATACTGACTTTTTCAGAGGTCTCAAAGACGGGTCGACCTTCAAATTTGATTTGGTCCGAAAGAGGGTGGCGACTCTTCAAGAGGCC